CTGTCCTTTTCAGAATTTCACTGAAAACAATAAATTATAATTTGCGTTCAGGAAATAATAAAGCGTTTTAATTAATTTTAAATCGATTGTTTGGGAAATAATTAATATTTTTCAACAAACTGATTTATTACGCTGTCGCTTTCTTTGAGTTATTCCATTCGCGTTTTTCCCCTAATTATCGTTCACTTCACGGTTTTGAGCAAATTGATTTTTGGCCGAAAACACTTAAAAATTGTGACATGAAACTTACGATTTTTGTTAAAATTCCTTTTGGGCTTTCAGCACAACTGGTTGCAGATCAACAGGCGTTTCAGGATGTTGCTGAAACGCTTTATCCTTCCAAGGCGCCTACATGACATGGAGGGGGTTGGTGCACCCCCATTGGCCGCCTCCACGATTCCTCCATAATTACATATTGTTACAATTTTGATTTATTTTACTACAAACCGACTATTACCACTAATATTTCATCAAATCGAAATTAACTTAACAAGTTTTAGGTTTCACCAATGACCAATTTTTTTCAATTACTCAAAGATTAAATTATTTTTATGAAGCCACACAGGAAAAAAGTTTTAGATTAAATCTGACGTTTCTTACAAAAGGATTTTTCTTTATGACTTAATCCTGATTTATTTGTTATGTCCGCCTTGTGGCGACATTTTTAAGGTTACTAGAAACATTCCTCTGACTGGAATACTAAAAATGAAAATTTCTACGAAAATGAAAAATAATCGGTTTGCTTTTATGGCGCAAATATCAAGTAGTCATTGACTGAATTAAAAATGACACTTGATGTTCATAAAAACAATAATAAAACAAAAAATAATAGGGTTTTTACTTTTTAATTTCTATTTACCCGCCACTGGTCACAATTTCATATTGTTGCTATGGTAATAATTTTTTGTTGTCATGATTATAGTAAATTTTAAAAAAAGTAATTTTGCAAATTAAAATTTTCAATTTTCAGTTGTTTCAATTTTTTTTAATTTTTTCGAAATAATAATTTATTAGTTTTGCTTTTAAAATTTTATTTAATTTTTTTAATTTTTTTTTTTAATTTTTTGAAAATAAAAATTAATTAGTTTTTATGGGTTAATTATCAAATAACCACTGACTAAATTAAAAATTACTTGTGATATATTTTTTTATTTCATAAAGATAGTAGTACCCGCCACTGGTCACTTTTTTGTTATCATGGTTTCTATAGCAACTATGCTACAGCCGACTCGACTAGGGATTTTTAAGAAAATAATGTAAAAATTAAAATATGGAACGCTTCTTATTTATTCGCGGAGATAAAAATCATTTTAGTTCCAATAAAACTCCTATATTAAAACTCGTACTTTGTGTAAATATTTATGCAACAATATTTCATGTAAAAGAATAAAAAGCACGAAGTTTTTCAAATAAATATGTATTTTTAGGATTATTGTAATCACAAAAACAAAATATCTCTCATAAGTTACTTAAATTTAGTGAGAATAAATTTGAATGTGGCGCGTCCCAAGTTGGGGATTTTTTCCCCGTGAAAAGCAGTAAACAGTCGATGATGTCAAAAATGGTGGCTTATGTTTGAAATATGTGAAGTAGAAGCAAACCTTTAACCTTTTTGGTAGTTTCCCCGTTCGAAATCATGTTAAATCAAGTGTCCGTCGAGGCTGTATATTCAGCCACTTACGTGGAGAATTATTTGGATTGTGTTGAAAATCTTCCCGATGAATTGCAACGCCTAATCTCCAGGATGCGAGAACTCGACGTCTGTTACTTGGGTAAAGTAGCATTTTTCTCACACAAACCCCTCCTCAAGTGTCATTTTCAGCCCGTGTGAGGGAAGCCGCATACCAAACGGAAAACTGGAAAAAAATCGGTAATGATAACCCCGGGAAGAAGGCTCGGGGCTTCGCCCGCATGCAACAAGCCCTGATCGCAGCCCAGGAACTCGGCGACGAAAAAATGAATCTTTTACAATCAATCCTGGACAAGATCGAAATCAAAACGCGTTTATTGGACCAGGATTTCAAAAATTTAGGTACTTTTCACCCTATTTCAAGTTACAATATTAAAATTTAGTGCTAGATTTTGGTAAAGACGAGACAACTCAACTCGAGAACAAAGAACAACAGCCCCCAATCACGACGAGTAACACCGGACTGGTGGAGAGGGCCCCCAAGAGGGCGCGACGCACCCGACATGACACCTTCTCCGGCCTGGAATCGAACCATAATGATGCTGCAGCCCCCGTGGAGCATGTCTTAAGGAGTCAAGTGCCATCATCCACCACCAACTCGACGAAGAAGAGTGCCACAGGGAAGAAGAAGAAACGTAAATCGAAACAAGTTCAAGCACAAAGAGAAGAATCTCCTCCACGTGAAGAAGAACCAATTATTGATCCCGATGAGCCCACTTATTGTCTCTGTGATCAAATTTCCTACGGTGAAATGATTATGTGCGACAATGATTTGTGCCCAATCGAGTGGTTCCACTTTTCTTGCGTTACTTTAACCACCAAACCCAAAGGTAAATGGTATTGTCCAAAGTGTAGAGGTGATAGACCCAATGTTATGAAACCCAAGGCGCAATTTCTCAGAGAACTTGAAAAGTATAATAAGGATAAAGAGGAGAAAACATAATTTTTTTCATTTTGTGTGTATTTTCTTTCTCTTATAGCAATTAAAATTTGATAGAAATGTTTTAAAATATTAATAAATATGTCTAACATAAAATTTCTTCTCTGTGATGCAAGACTACACACATTATGGCAGTGTAAAATAAAATAAATGTAACAAATGTGTAAGTAAAAATCCTCCAATCACCTAACAATAAATAACACAATGGCGTCAATACAAACTATCAGACTTGAAAATTAATCAAACACGCCTAGAGGTAAGCTAAAATGACTACAATTTTAAACCCAAACTCCATGTGGGTTTTTATTGGTTGGTACTGCATTTTCTAATTGGCGTGGGGAACCAATCATTTTTCGGGTACTTCCCTTATTATTAGGACCTTCCAAAATGGCGCGTAAATCCTCTGGTGGCGCTATAGTCAAACTTTGTAAATTCGCTTCTTTCATTTCAGTCACAAGCAATTCCACTTGTTTTTTCTTTTCTATTATAGCCGTCTCGAGTGCAGCAACCTGAAGAAAAAAAAATTACCAACAAAAAAAAACACACCAAAAACTAACTTCTTTTTTGAGGGTTTCAGCAGTCAAATGATGCAATTCAGTGCTTTGTTTTGCCAACTCAATATCTCTTTGTAATCGTTCCATTTCAACTAAAAGATTTTTTTCCATTTGTTTACGTGATTCGGTACGACGTGATAACGCTCGTTGTTCCATTTGTAATTCATCCATTACTAAACGAATTTTATTTTTACATTGTAAAAGTTCAGTTTCACAATTTGCAAGTTTAGAGCGTAAAAGAGTTATTTCAGATTTGAGTGTTTTCTCTTGTTGTTTCACGATTTCACACTCTTCCTCAATATAATTCAATGCCTGAATCTGGAGATTAAATTATTATTTGAATTAAAATTAATTAAATTAAACCTGATCTTGATTGATTTTCGTTGCATTAGTCATTGCGAGAATTTCCTGCGAAATATACTCCAATTGCATTTGTTTTTCACGTTCTTTACTCTCCCAAAACACAATTTCCGCGTCAAACTGCAACAAAATCAAATTAATTTTTCAATTAATTAAATTAAAAGTCGCACTTTTGTGAGATCTGCTTGCTGATTGGATAACTTCTCTCTCTGGTAATTAATAAGGGCGATTAATTCCCTATATTGTGCATTATACAGTACAGATTCCTGTAATTTGTGTGTTTTATTTGACTCTTGGAGGATGTTTTTTTTGGGGGGTGGAGGGTCGCGGTAAGGTGGCGGTGCTAAAGGGTGGATTCTATGACTAGGAGATTCAGATTTTTTCGGTGAATTTTGAGTTTCACGCACTTCGAGTGTTTTTATATGGGGGACACCTTTCACAACGCCGACTTGGGATTTTTGCGGGGATTCCACTATGATGTTGGCTGATGATGAGGTTTTTGGTTTGGTTGTTGGTGTCATGGGTTTGCTTTCGTTCCATTGGAGGATGAATTGGACGTCGTTTGAGTACTCGCCCCATTTCATCAAAATCTGTGAAATTTTCTTACAAAATCGGTTTTTTTTTCGTTTAACAAACCTTGAGTGGGTTTTCATTGGGGGCCAACTGTCGTTCATTGTTCCTCCACCGTTCTATAAGTGTGAATCGGCCTGATTTGCCTGTAGCGTGAGCTAAAGCAAACACTACATCCTGGAATTTCAAAGTGAGAAAAATGATCGAAATTATGTTTCAGGGGGTACCTGACATGTTGTTGTCTCGGTCACTCCACACACTATCCTCTGGATGCCCTCGACCCAAACTTTTAACTCCATATTGCACTTAAAAAACTATTTTATTCACAATTATCCTCACTCAATTATTACACTCACCTAATTCCAGGTTTTGGCATTTTGATCAATCGAAGCTCTGGGTTAACAAATCTGGAGTTTACGTAATTGAATAAAAACGATGTTTATTCAAAATAAGCATTTTTTTACATGTTTTGAGTAAAAAATGTGGAATTTATTATTATTTATAAACGTCAAATATTTTTACTCCTGTCACTTGCCACCAACAAAACGATCAAAAATCCCTAAACTCGCCAACTTGATTCAAATCGATGAAAGTTTTGAGTTTCTTGTGTGTTTTTTGCTTATTTACTACCAGGATTAAAATATTAACATAAAGCTTAACCAAAAAATGACGCAAAAAATGAATATTTTGCTCACAAGTAATCAAAGTTTGAGGTTTTTACAGATTTTAAAAGAAAAAGTGCAAAATTTATTATTTAGCTAATTATTTTTAATTGAAAATTTGTAAATTGTTACCAAGAAACGGGTAAAAATCCCTAAATTAGTCTGCACCAACGCCAACTATTTTTAAAATCCCAGTAAAATTTTTGCTCCAATTTTATGTTAATTTCTAAATTTTTGTTGGTTTTTCGTCTTGTTGAACTCAAAAAAATGACACAACAGGAAAAATTACCAACCAGTGGGTAAATTTAGAGTTTTTCAATAATTTTAAAGTAAAAAGTCCGAAATTTATTTTTTTTTAATTAAAAATTTGTAAATTATTGTTACTAAGAAAATGACCAAAAATCCCTAAATTATCCTGCGCCAAGGCCAACTAAATATTTTTAAATTCGTACTTTTTGCTTCAATTTTTGTGGTTTTTGTGTGCATTTTTAAATTTTTGTGCGTATTTAGTGTTGTTAAATTTCAAAAAATGTTATGGTRAGTGTTGTTTTTCCAATTTTTTGCTTACAAATCACCAAAACGCAAATTTTATCACGGCAATCAGACATAACCCAAAAAAGTGACTCAAACAGGAAAAATTATCAACCAGTAGTCACATTTAATGTTTTTTAAAGATT